GATGATGATGATGATGATAATGATCTCTATCCACCATCATCCATTCATTCATTCTAAAACAATAAGATGTCTTACCTTCAGGGATTGCAAGTCAGTAGTCAATTCCAATTGTGTTCAATCTAATATACCATTTACCATTCTAGTGATCTCCTTTTTGAGGCAACAACATGCCTTCTTCTACCACGCCGTAAATCCCAGATAGCAAAAGAACGGGTCCAACCAAGACGACCAATGTCTGTTAATAAAGTGCTGTATGCCATAGGAGGAATGAGTAGGAGGGAAGCAAGCAAAAGTGGTGAAAAATTTGACCCTAAAGAAGGCAAATGGAAACCAATAGGTAGGGCTATTGATGACGTGTGTAGTTGTAAGTGATGATTCGGTGAGTAAGGTATGCAGTCAAATGGGTGTAACAAATTCCTTTCTATATCCATGAGCAGTGTGCATATATAGTCTATTACAGCAAACAGTGCCACTTGTCTCATTCTTTGGCTTTTGTCATTTCTTTTTTTCAGGTGATATGAGTATATGTCGATGGGGTGCTGATGTAGGTGCTCTTGGTCCGTATCTGTATATATGTGGAGGAAGTGACGATGCTTCTCGCTTAGACACTGTTGAAAGATTTGACCCATTTTCTAATGTATGGGTGCCATCTGTTCCCATGGCAACGAGTCGTAATGGGGTAGGGGTAGTTGCTGGCAATGGAAGGATTTATGCAATAGGTGAGTCATGACTGAGTTTTCTAGATAAAGTCTTACAACCAAACACATGAACAATAACTACATTTATTTTTCTCCAAACCGATATCCTATGAATCATGCATTCTCATTGGCTTCCAGAGCAGTTGGTATTTTCTTTTACCGCTGTCTGATATCCTTTGATAACAGATTGCAAAAATGACAAAAAATAATTGCAAGACAAGTTAAATATTGGGGAAAATAAAAATCCTACTTTCGGTCTGTATATGAAAAAACGGTGCCCCTGGTCTACATTGAAGACATGTATTGAACACTTTGGGCACAGTTTTCCCCTATCCGGACCGAATGTCTTGTTTAGCTCAATACTTCCAACTATGGTCATTTATTGCAATGATTGTATCTTTTCAGGTGGTTTTGATGGCTCAATGCCGCTAAACACTGCAGAGTATTATGACTCTAAAACAGGCCGGTGGACAGAGATAGCTCGTATGAATCAGTGCCGTTTTGGTGTTGGTTGTGTGGTATTAGACAATTACGTCTATGCAGTTGGAGGATCAGATGGTACAAATCTTAAAACAGTGGAACGATATGACCCGGAAACAAATAGATGGTCGTTTGTTGCTCCTATGAATACAGCTAGGTATGTTAACCTATACCAGATATTTGGAGTTGTCTTGTTTGTTATACGGCGTGTAGTTCCTAAGACTAGTTGACAAGCGTGATAGAACTCTATTACACGTGTTTGTTTCTTCATTCTCCTTCAGAAAACAAGTTGGTGTTGCATCGCTTGGAGGGTATATTTACGCTATCGGAGGATGCGATCATGGTAAGCGCTATGATACAGTAGAGCGCTATGATCCTGCCAAGAATGAATGGCTTGATGTATGTTCGATGAGCACCCCACGCAGTGGGTGTGGAGTAGGTGTCTTGGATGGTCTTGTGTACGCCGTGGGGGGATACGATGGCACTATGTATTTACAGTCAGTTGAAAGGTAAGTCTCGTCTCAAGTGATTGGCTAGTACCGTACTATGGGACTGTTGGTACAGAAAATGCGTGATTTTATCATAGACTATGGAAGCTGCCAATATTTCAATTATTTGCTACTTTAATAGTGTCCAAATTCTTCATTTATGCTAAAGAAATTACAACTTTTCTCACTCATATTGGCTTCATAATGATGATTATGGTGATGATTATGGCGATAACCTTGATTTACCGTTGTCTAGTACACTTAGCTCGATATAATGTATAGCGTAAAATCCCAGTTTTGGATTTTTGTTCTTATGACAATAGGAAAACACTGGAATCACGTGTTAATGGGCTTCTAACGGGGGGACCTTATAACTGGGATTTTACGGTATGCCGCTAATTTACAGGTACCGCCACAACATAATTGAGCTGCTTGTGGGTAACTGATGTCGTGTTAGCTGTCACTTACATTGTCATTGTTTTTATTTTAGATATGATCCACTAACGAACCAATGGTATCAAGCCCCTCCCCTCAGTCAACCACGTGACTGCGTAGCTGTGTGTGTAGCCACTTCTAAACGAGTTACTTGCTCAAGTAAAAGACTTTTTGAACATAGAAATAGCAGCCCACCCTCTTCGAACCACAGCCACTCGAGCTAGCAGTATGCTTATTTATCACGTGACGGAATATACAGTTGGCTGTTATATCACAACTCGATTGGTGAGGACCAACATCAAATTGATTGCATGAGCATAGCGGGATAAAGAAAGCCACGATCATGCAGCCCTTACCCTTTGAATTCATTGATTGAATTCATGGGGACGGGGAGGGGGAAGAAACCTTTAACTGAGTGACTGTTCAGACAATGTTCTGACGTCGTATATGAGTATCTTCGGCGGCGTTGGGTGGCAAAAATACGATGAGCTTTATTGGAATTGTACCATGAGCGATGGAAAACAACTATAGTAAAAACCCGCGTATAAGAACCTAGGTTTTTTCAAGTTAGCCTAAACAGGTTCTTATATAAATGGTATTTAGTGTTAAATTAGGCTAACTAGGTTCTTAATTAGGTTCTTAACTTTTGGTCAAGAAATAAAATAAAGTTTCATTTTAAGTTGGATTTTTTTATTCAATGAGGACATGTTCTTTACAGTAACCATGTAAAGTTATAGTGTTTATAACATTATTGTGTACAGACTGTGTTATAAATATATTTTTGAAAAGATTCTAAATTTTTTTTCTTTTTAAAAAATAAGAACCTGTTTTAGGGTTTTAGCCTAACAGGTTCTTAAATTTTAGGTTCTTGTACGCGGGTTTTTACTGTATTGCTATCTATGTGATATACCACAAATTGATAATTTAATTGCAAAAAAAGGGCCAAAACGAAACTCTTCATGGGTTAACAGAATGTTATGAAGTTTTTGTAGTTTTTATTTAATTTTCAAATAACCGTATCCTTCACTTTCGGCGAGAATAAAACTCCGGTACTCGAAGTGCTGTCGTAGAAGACACGTACRTTTGTAGTGAACAAGGGTTTGTTATCGGCTGCTGTCGTCACATTCTCAGTCTTTATATGCTAAAATGTACAGTTTATTAAAACGAAAACACTCTAAAATTGCCCTATTTCACAATGACGTCACTGCTTGTTTATGTGGGGGATAGAATCGCCAAATCCAATAGAAAATTCAACAATATTTTCTCCTAGCGAAACAGTTTAATCTAAAATGGCCTGGTTTTCAGATATAATATGTGTTAATATGTACTAAAAAATATTCTGAGCGTTTGCTGGCTATTCTACTTCTCTTTGTGGATTGATACGGGTTTTAGAACAATTTTCGGTGAATTTGCGTTGATTTGACCCCCTCCGACGACCATGATCCTTTGCGTTGATGTGACGCCATAGTGAAATAGGGCAATTGTACTTGCTGATTTTACAACATGATTTAATATATCGTTAATATTTAAAAGTTGGACAACTAAGAACTCTGGGTGTGGTGTTCAAAAATTAAGTAATTGCTTCGTGTTCTTTGACAGTTTGTATATAATAAAACACATATTACCTGGAAACTCGGGACACAAGTGTGTTTTGTGGTTCCTCGATCGCCGTCTCGGGACCACAAAACACACTGTTTCCCTCAATCTCGGTCAATAAGTGTAAATTAGTATAGTTAGTGTGTAACAGTGAAATGACAACAAAAGAACACAATGGAATTACGGTCAACGTATTTCACGGGTTAATGAAAACCACTCAAAATAAGAAAAACCGTGATTTTGTCCCAATTACAAGTGTTAGTAAAGAATTCCTCAAAGAAACATTTACTCGGTATTGACCACTTGTATTTTGTAAGTACATACATACTGATGGTCAATGGGTTATATTTTGTCAATGATTTAACACGTAAACATTGTAAATAAAAGATACTATTGTTGTTGTTGTTAATGACATAGTGTTGACGCGTAGGCTTTACCCTCCCTACGTACCCTGCTGAAACTGAGGACCCGTCCGGCCGCATGCACTAGATTTGTTTGAAAAGCACATGCTTTCCAATGCGTCTTGGCTTTGGGCCCACAATAATCGATTGAAAACTCGTGCATTTGAAAACGCCTTCCTGTGTAGTCTTTCTTTGCAGCCGTTTTTGTGTCGGGAGTTTGGGGACCGACACTAAGGACGCCTGCAAAGAAGACTATACTTCCTGAGTGGAGACATTCGAAAACGGAGGCTTTTGAAAATTCTGACGTCATTCACACGGGTGTGTCACGTCTGTTTCTCGCATGCGATGATAGGGCGTTATTTCTGATCGTGATGAGGAGGTTTTTGAGATATACACCTATTTCAAAAAAAGTCGAAGGCGAAAAGCGTTAGGACTGAAATATAAGCTTAATATTCTCTTGCTCTCGGTTATTGAACTTATGGCCCTCGAAAACGAAAAGTAAAACTATAGAAGAAGACAAAAACCAAGACTTGTGGGCGGTTGGAGATGCAACTAGGGACTCCCCCTTCCCGGATCGGCCACTGCACATTTACTGTTTATGAGATTAGAGAAGTGTACAAATGTACTGAAACTCTTCCTTGGTTTATTTGGTGACTGTATCACCAAGTACACTAAGCGTGTGAATTAGGTTCCCATCAGCGAATTATCTCGAATTAGAGACACCCACACCCCTGAAAACCAAAACCAATGCCAACTTAGCCATGTGAAAAATAAGTAGATATAATCTTCAGTTTATCTTTTTAGTGGAGCTAGGAGTAATGTATTGTTAGAGTGCTTGCACTTTTAACTCTGTGAAAGAGTACTAAGTTTATATACCGTTAAATATTACAAAATAGAGTGGTTTTCAAAAACCCGTGAAATACACTTTAGCGTATTACACTTTAATACACTTTATTGTCCACATTTTCTTTTGATTTTCTTTTGTGTTTTTGGTGTATTACAATTTATTAAACCTTAGCTATTACACTTTGTTTCACGGGTTTTTGAAAACCACTCTAGTTCAATGTTCTATTATTTCCCCATTGGTATTTAGTACTAAAATAGCCAGTCTGCGTTTGGGGGAATTAAACTGGGTCCAGTTGGAAAAATGTCCCTTAAAGCAATACCACAATACAATGCATTGGCAACTCGATCCAGTTTGCCAGCTCAAACCCGTAATGGCTTGAGTGCAATGTTGTGTATGGAAATAGTTTTGCTATAGCGAAAATATCAGACTTGTATATATTGATTAACTTAGTCAGCTAGAAAGGGTTTAGATAAGCTAATCGTGGAAAACACATCCAGCACCGTTCAAAGTGTATTCGTTTTCTACCCACGGTAAGGTGCGCGGTAGCTTCGGTAGGGGTGATAGATGTGAGGTCCTAGGGAATGCATAACTCTGCATTTGATGCCGTAAACAAAAAGATGGGTTGTGCGTGGTACGGTCACGGTTCGCCTGTACCGCAAGTTTCTCACGCTGAGATATGCGGTGATGTCTGTTCTATGAAATATAATGGGCGCGGATTAAATACAACAGTCACTTCAACTGAGTTTGATGCTATGGGTCAGTGCCTGGGGATACATGGTGAAATTAATTTCAGAATGATTTACAAAAACAGTTTTCTCACGAATGCTAGCTGAGTCGAAACCGGCTTTAGGGACGGTAAATTGTGCCGCATGTTTCTGGACACTAACCATTCTTAAACCAAAAGGTCTATAAACGTATCTATTCAATGTTTTATCAAGATGAGAAAATGTTTACTTGATTGGTTTAATCCCACTCGACCATCATGTAGTTTGATAATAGTATTAACTATTTATAAGACATTCTTGAAGGTATCGAGCATCCATGACTTAATTCCACAAGTTCATTTTGTTGATCTGTTAGGCTGAATTACATACATGCTCGTTGTCTGGACCTTCACCGTCTTCATCTTCATCTTCGGGATTATTGTTCTGCCCAATAAGCTTCATTTTCATTTCTAAGATGGGAACAGGCAGTGCAATAACCAGAGTTCCAACAACACAGCATATACTGCCCATCAGCTGTCCCATGGTGGTTTCAGGGGTCATGTCACCGTAACTAAGGATACAACATAGAAGCAGATTAACATACTAGTAGTATAATTCAACATGCACCTCCTTCATAGGATGAAGGATGATCCATGCTTTGCAAAAAAAAATCCCACTGACTGAGAATCGTTGTGCATGGGTAGATATAAGTGCTTATTTTATTGGCAGTCTTTCCCAGGGACGTTTATTCTTCACTAATACTTAATGAGGCTCCTACGTCTTTATCCACTTGGCAATGGATGTACAATTATCTCTGATAAAGTCGTCCTCATTAAAGAATACTAATGAAGGGGACTTTATGGGGTTTAAACATCCATGCAAGTGACGTGTATGGTCGCTTCAGTTGGTTCAAAGGCTCATTACTTTTTCATGATTGGCTTTTGAAAGCAAAGTTAACTAATGGGAGTCGTCGGAACCATCRATTCGAATATTTATACCTCCTTTTGCAAATCTAAACGTGCTAAATTTAAAATATTTTCGGGCTTTGAGTACGTTGTCGTGTTATGAGAGAGAAAATGTGTTTTCTTACTTACACGCGCGTAAAAACATAAAAACCTAGATTGTTTATTATCTTTTTAGCAAAAACGACAGGCTTTATCAACCTTTATATAAATCAATCCTCTTTTATGAATAGTGAATGGGGTGTGAGAACAAATAAGTCGGTTTATCACGGAACTTGCCTTTTCCAATCTTAACTATCTGGTTGTCAAAACGAAAGAGTTTTTCGTTGTTTTGGCCACAGTGCATCTAGCGGATATAAATGATTTAGATGCAAGGGAGTAAGTGAAACTCATCTAGATTCGAAGTAGTATTTGCTTCCACACGTTTACCGGCCGACGAACCGTAAATGGAGAAGGGACTATAAGCTACTCGAGCATTGGGAATCTTATTTTTGCATTTTCTTTCTTGCAACTTATTTAACTTATAAGGAACCTTCTTTACTTATTTTCCTCTTTTAGTTCTCGTGATGTGTATATACTTGAAACTACTGAATTGAATCTAGCTTCAGGCTCGCAGCAGGACTGCTAGACTATTTTTCTAACACTGCCTGGTGACCGCGAACTAAATGAGAACGGCAACAATTAACGCAAAAACAGCTAAAATGCTCGAATTAAACTAAGAAGGCTATGGACAATGCACTAATGCATGTGTTCCATAGAGTATCTACCAAAACAAGTGAAATGAGCTTAAGATTAATTGGTTGAATTTCATGGTATCTTTTTAAATTTTTCTGTTAAATATAGGCCTGTTGTGTTTTTGCAGTCATGCAAGATTAAAATGATGACAAGCACAACACGAAGCAGCATATTAATTGAATTCATCAGTGACTGTAATTAGTGGGTTCATGATATCACGATATCTATTAACTATGAAGATGTGGATACACTAATCATAACTAATCTTGTCAAAAAGGACCAAAATCCTTCAATTACTGTTATTACTTCCTGGGTCATGCAATATAAATATCTAGGTCGATAGATGTGGAATTTTGTATCTTTGATATTTCATGATTTAAAACACTATAATAATGGCCTGTTCTTGTCAAGCTAGTAAGGCCAAGTCTTGAATTTTCATGATACTCTGAAAACGATTTACTGCTGCAAATGAAAAATTTAACGTACTCGCAAATTCCGTAAGACCCACGGGTTTATTAAATTATACATCGTTTCTAGTCATTTCCATCGTTTTGTTTGAAGCTAGTGAGACTAATAAATTTAAAATGAATCAGAAAACCGAAAACGTTTAATGAAATTTCAGTGTTTGAGAATTCAATATTCTGTACTCTTGATACATTGTAATCCCCTATGCCAGGATACGAACAAAGAATCTTAAATAACCAAAAAGAGTATCCGTGTTCGGATATGTCCGTAATATAGAGGTGTCGGCGTGGGGAGGTTCTACTGTGTAACTCTTTTTAAACATGCAACCCGGTAAATTCTATTCAGTCCTGATTGGACGTCGCGTACGGTCTCGTCTACTGGGTATCATATGTACTATAGTACAGGGAAGGGCCGAAGTGATGCAGGAAAGCTAAATTTAGCTTGAATAGAACTTGATGGCTTAATCAGTACTTACCCCAGCGTAGTCATGGTGACAATAGCATACCACATGCTATCAGGTATGCTAAGAAACGTCGTCTTCGGTTCGTCTTTCTCGCAGTAATAAATTACTGTCGCAAAAATAATGACTCCCAATGAAAAGGAAAACAATATAAAACCTAATTCTGAAGAAGAGTTTTTGATTGATCCGCCAAGAGTTCGCAAGCGCTTTGAGTGCCGAGCCATTTTCACCACTCGAAGAACTCGTAAAACTCTTAAGACCACTAATTGTTCTGATTTTCCACCTGATGACTGGAGAAAGAGTCTCAAATAAAAAGGCAGAATTGATGCTACATCGATTATGTTATGAAAATTCTTGATAAATTTCATCTTTTCTGGTGCTACGAAAAGACGTACCAAGTACTCCAGCGTAAAGATAAACACGCATGTTGCATCGATATTGAAAAAGGTGCGTTTGTATGTTTGGCCGCAGGTTAGGTTATTTCCACAAGGAACTGTTTCGACGACTGTTGTCATTATACTTACTACTATAGCAATTCCAACTGTAATGTTAATAGTCTTGCCTAGTAAAGTGCTGTGAGGGTTTTCAAACAAGTCCCAGATAAGTTCCTTTGGCGATCGTTTTGCAGGCTTGCACTGACATTTCGCTACTCCAGTCTTTTCTGGCTCTTTCGGTACGCCCCTTCGACTTGCTTCGTCCATTTCTTCAAAGCAACATAATTCCATTCTATCCTGAGATATACGAAAGAATTTTAGTTCGTCCTTGTAAGAAATGCCACATTCGTCCAGGGAAAAATGCAATTTTCCCTTCCGGTAAAAGTTTAGAACATGCCGAAAGAAAATGGGATCTCGATCGAAGAAATATTCTTTCTTTTCCTTGTCGTAGAACGAATCCAGGTCTAAACTTCCCAAAAGTGTTTGGGGATATTTCTGCAGTGTTTTTTCCCAAGTTTCAAACTTTCTTCCGCTGACGTTGATAATGATTCTGCGATCATTTTGGTTTAAGAGCGGTTGACGAATAGCGCCTGAAAACTGTTTGTTCATTAAAGGTGTCATTGCTACCAGTCCAGCGCGTGCAGCTGGGAGCCAACAGTCAAGATTATTAACAGATCGGTGTCGTTCCATGGTTATAAAGAATTATCTATTGTAGTTATCCACTTGTGTCAAGAACCATTGCGGTTCTTGAACTTCTTTCAGTATATCTTATAAGTTTTGCAAGACGACCGCACAAATGTTCAGATATGCGCGTTCTGAGTAATTGACTTGATCAATAATTAATGAAGAGTTCGGAAAGATTTAACAATGAGCCAATGGGGGTAAACTGCTTGTTAGCCTATTGAAAGGGATATTTTGACATTCCCTATCGTACGTGTCGACGCAAAAAAAAGTTTGTTAATAAACTACTGCTAAATCTCCACTAGAACTAAAATCTATGAATACAAGTCATTACAGACAGACCTTGACAATGTGATACGGGTACCAGTATTAATTGTGCAACTTATTGAGATAACAATGCATGTTTCCCTTTCTTTAATACAAAGATCCGTCCACCCTTTTCTTACTTGCAGCAGCCAATGAGAATAGTTTGCATTGAAGGGTGTTTTTGCTAATCAGGACTTCAATTGTTATGCATCACTCTCACAGTTGGTGGAGCAGTTTTCAAATAAATTCCCATTCATCTATGAATCTCGCCCGCAACAAAGGTTTTACACGTAAATAGATCTCTAGTCATACTTCGCCGCGTGTATTGATAAAACGTATGTTTTTGTTTTCGCATTCCTTATGTTTTACCCGTAAATTAGCGTAAGGGGGAATCCAAAACACGGTGAATAATCTTTTATATAGAGCATATATCCCCGACGGTTCCAGATGATCTGCAATGTTTTCTGTAGTTTTGAATCCCACGATTAATCTAGCTAACCAATGAACGTTATGTTTAATCCTCAAGAATAATCCTACATCTCAGCTAGAAATGGCATAAATGTGTAATCTTTTTCTGACAATTATCAATTGAGGACAATTATTACGAATAACACATGAGTATTAATTGAAAAGTCCATTCCGGCAAGCCACGCAAGCCATTTAGTGGTACGATAAGGCGCGAAGCGGGACATTTTACACGATATTCAAGTGATTCGGCTACCATGATGAAATATTCATCATCGGTTACCAGTCTGAGAGGTGAATGATAGATTCAAAGAACGCACTTGAAACCTTAATGCGGTTTCACTACTAAACTTAGTCAATATTTTAGATCTCACTGAACGCTAGATCTAATGCGTCGCCTCTCACCAATACAGACGATTCGATTCCTGGGCTCAGTGCCATATGTAAATAGATTGTTTTGCTTATTTTGTCTATTGGTTCTCTCCCGTGCTTCGTTGGTTTTTCTCAGGGTTCTCCGGTTTTTCTTCATTCGCAAAAATTAACTTCTGAATTCCAATAGACCGTTTTCTCAGGTTGCGTGCGCATCCAAATTTAAAGAACTTGACGGGCCAAGATACCAAAACACGAGCTTTATGATGACTATTATCATGCATTGCTTTGAAAATTTTTTCGATAAGAATTCATAAAATCGATTATTATCAATTTTACTAAATTTGCGTTTTTCAATTTTGTGGCCCGTCAAGTAGGATGCGCACGCAACCTCAGTTGAGAAAACGTAACGGTCTGCTCGCTCTTTGGAGCTACTCTCGATAGGGTTAAATTTTTATATCTCCTTTTGCATTATACTGTGAGTGTGAATATAAATCGGTTATTTTATTTAGAAATTAAGACAGTTGACAGCATACATGAGGGTGTAGTTTTTTCAAGGCATAGACACGCTGAATGAAGTGTAGCAACATAGAGAGAAATCTTGGACAAAGACCACGACCTTTAAAAAAAAACAAAGCAAAAAACAAAAAAGAAAGAAAGAAAGAGGACAGACAAATAACAGAAATTGGAAGAAAGAGCAGAAACCATGGAAAGAGGACAGAAATCATATATGTTTGCCATAGAGGTATGTAGTAATATTCATCCATGCCATAAGACGTTTTTTGAAAAGTAAATTTTGCAAAAATTGCCAAAGAAAGGTTCGACCAGGTTTGTTGCTGTGTATTGTGCTCACGAGAAGCTCACAACACTCTCGTGTAAGAACACCTTATTCATGTACAACTGTGCAAATGCATAGAATATGAGAATTGAAAGATAATTAGTCTATATTAAGTATGGGCAAGGGGACATGTAAGGGAGGTACAAGAGATCCCTAGAGAAATGAGGATGAAAAGAATAATTATCCAGGAGTTCACGCACTTTGTCACTGTAGAATATAAATTCAACCAAATAAAATTCTAAATTTTAGTCGCATAAATTTGAGCTACGTTTGTGCTTATCATATGTCCTTGAATCCACAAAGTAAAAGGGGCATGTGTCCCGTACACCCCCACCCCCTCCTCCCCGTAGATCCGCCTCTGCATAGTATGTGTGAAATATTCAAATAGCTTTGGGTATCACCAGAGTTTTTAGTTTTGAATAAACATACAAAACTGTATGGATTGGGCCTAAAATACTTTCCGTAGGTGAATGGATTTGAGCATTCTAAAGTGTTAGATTGTCAAAAGACAGAAGGAAAAAAAAAAAACGAAAAAAAAAAACCCGCCCAAAAAAACCCAAAAAAAACCCACAACATGAAACCAGGCGCAGAAACAGCGCTTGGACTCCCTGTGGAGGCTCCTTTACACATTGCTAGGTCAGCGGTATGCCACCGTACAAAGGAAAGAAAATCAAAATGGCGGATTTGAACCCTTACTTGAGTAGCGATCCTTCGGCGAAAGACAGGTAAAGATCTCTCAGCTTTTACTTAAAATAGATTTGATACTGTCAAGGACAATAATTAAGTCTTATATGTGGCATTTTTTAGGTGGATAGTTATATATCCAGCGTATTTAAACGGTAGGAAGACAGTAGTGCAAGGCCGACGTGTACCTAAAGTCAAGGTGAGCTTATGAATACTTTATTGATACTTAGTTCAAAGTTCAAAAAGCTTCGCTGAAGTTTGACATATTGGTCTCTTTTTCACTTTAGCTGGCCTTAAAAGGATCGTTAAAGATAATGCAAAAATATTCCCAGAACATGAGTTAATAAGAACAACATAACTGATGCTGTCTCCACATCCATGCATTTTCCCCCACAGGGGAGATTGAAAGTGGTTGTGCATAGGAACCGCACACAGAGTAGAAAGCTTAAAGAAATAAATCAATTATACCAGCTGGGTTGGGTTAAAGTAAGGGAAGGTTTAAATATCCTTTTTCAGTCACTGGCTTGAAGTAACCAGTACTCCATTTTACAGTTTCGTTCAATGACCATGAATAATAGTTCCAAGCCGAGGTTGGAGTTGCTGCGCATGATAAAAAGCATAGTTTTGCTATGCGCAGAAACTCCAGCCTCGACTTACAACTATTATTCGTGGTCACTGAACGAAACTGTAAAATGGATTATTGATATAATCTCCATACAATGTTCTCTTTCAGTCTGTAGATAATCCAACTGTCTATGAGATTCGTGATGTCTGCCAAAGTCAAGGTCTGGAAGTTGGAGTTGAGGTTCGTTTTCTTCTGCAGAATGTTTTGAACAATACATCAAAATTTACACTATTAATTGTGTAGACACCCCCCTACCCCCCGGAAATTCCAATTTTCTTCCATACAAACTCTGTAATTTTTGTTCTTTTTCTGACCCCCCTACTCTTCAGAAATTCCAAATTCCTCTGTGAGGTGGGTGTGGATGATTGCTGGAACTACACATTAAGTGCAAAGTAAAGTGATTGTTTTTATGTCATCCATCATCATCAGACGGACTGCTCTAGAATGAATAATTTACTGACAGTGAGGCACTGTTAGAGGTACTATTCTGACAAGCAACAAAAGAACATTTCATTATTGCAACATAGGCAGTTTGTGAATGACTGGTCATCATGCCACCCAATCTAGCATACTACTTAGAAGTTTTATTACATAGTTAGGATAGTACTAATGCACTGAGTGGTAGAAAACTTTGCTTTATTAGTGACACATTGCTTTTTTTTTTGCGTAAATAAATTCAATACCAAAATAGAATTAATAACTATATTATAAAATGAATAAAACACCTTTTCACTGTGCCCTTTCAGTAATAAAGCACTTAGGAAGTGCCGTAAGCACTCAAGAAGTAAGAGAAGCACTCACCTTCTTTCATGCTTTACTTCCTGCATGCTTTATTACTGAACGGAGCACAGAAAAAGCTTTTTTATTTGTTAATTAAAATATCAGAAACTCACAGTTACCATTGGTGACTGATTGAATCAGTCAATACTTGTAGTTTTGTTTATAATGTTACTAATGACATTACTAATGATAACGAATTTGGTTTATATTTAGGACAAGATGTATCCCAGAGATAATTCAAAAGATGCTTTATGTAAAGGAAGGGTCAGAGTCCAACTTAAGAACTCACAAAATCTACCAATAAATGAAAAATTTCAGAACAGTAAGTATTTTTTCTTTGCATATCAAAAGCTAGCTAATTTGTAAGTTAATTTTGCTTGCATTATATAGGAGTTGGGAGCTAGCAAATTGCTAGTTTAAGAATCCAACTAGTCACTGCAACCACAATGCACTGCATGCACTGTACCTATATTTAATGTTTACATTGTTTGCCTGCATTTGCTTCAAGATCTGGCAGAGCAAAATTCCTGCAAATTTAGTATAAGTCCTCTAATACCCCAAATTTTTTTCCATTCTTTTTTCCCATCCTTTTTTTCATTCCATAGCAAGTAGGTAGGTTCAGAAAGATTTTTCTTGTGACATTTATTTGACTTTTCAGTTGCCAAACTGGTAGCCATCGCAGCTTTTGAAACTTATGGAGTTTTTAGAGGCAGTCTCTGTAAAAGCAGCCCACTGCATTTCGGGACAAAAAATAGTTTCCCCTCAAACTTTCACCATAGAAAAGTAATTACTTTTTGTGAGCTGTGACAAAAAATGCAATTTTTCTTAAAATTCTCAAAGGCAAATGTATTTGAATCAAAACCAAATTGTGCACATCATTGCCTAGTGCAGTAATGTATTGCATATAAATGGCGTGCTTTTGGTATTTCTAAGTTAGTTGGTTTTTCACAGTTGATATCAAATGTTAGCCTCCATGCTTTCCACAAGTTGTTTCACTAGCTGCATCTAATTAACATAGTTCCCATCTACCATTTTGGTCTCAGCTTCTGTTTTTAATCAATTTTACAATTGAGTGTATGATGGACAGTTAAGACCCTTTGCAAAACAAGGAATATGTGTTTGAACTTTTTTCTGGAGCATAGACAAGGAACGTTTGAAATGGCATTTAGTAATGGAGCAAACTTTTAGTCACAGTGCTCTAGCATAAATACCTGAACTTTCAGGTTAACAATTTTCAATTTAAAAGGATTTGTATAAGAAGCAGAGCCAAATATTGTGACCCTTCTGCACCACTTTCATGCTGTGCACATTCATGTCTTAGGCCAAGGGCAAACATCGAACTTTCCCTGCACTGAACTTAATTACATCAGTGAATGCCGCCTCATTATCACCTGATATCCATTGTTTTTAATGAGTTCGGTGCATGGAAAGTTCAACATTTGCCCTAGGCCTTAGTAAAACAAAATATAGTTAATATCCAATTTTATAAAGAGTTTTCTTTTTAGTTTTTTTTTAAACATGCACTAGAGTGCAAACAATATAACCGTGAAACTTTAGTAATACTAAATAGAACAATTTCATGCAAGKTCCATTGTTTTCTATTGTTTAATTAGCACTATTTTTGTGCAGTTATTCAGTAATTAGTGTTTCACAGATTAATTTTTTGCATTCTAACATTTTTTTTTTAAATTTTAACAGGAAAAGCTCTTTTGCTATTTCTTGGTGAAATGATCCCCAAACTAAAATCAAGACAGACTAAATCAGGACAATCTGATGGTAACAGTCAACAACAATCAGCTGCTGCCAAGAAAAAGAAAGGCAAAAAAGCTAAAGCCAAATAATAATAAAATAATTTATTTAAAACACCAGAGTTATGTCATGTACAGTAGTAATACATGCAACACTGTGAAACACAAATTATGCTTTTACTTTTAAGGTCATAGCTGTTTTGTGTGGACAAAGAAAATAAATCCCTGTCAAGACAAAAAAGTTGAATGAGTTCTTCATTTCTTCTATATGCTTGGCCAATTCTTGTTTCATTTTCCTCAATACTCCAGCTTTAATTTCTGTTGCACAGGGTTGGTCTCCTTTTTGTGTCTAATACCTCCCCCCCTAAATAGCCCCAGTCCAAGAGCACTGAAAAAGAATAAATGACCCCCAGGGGGCTTATTAGAGGAAATACAGTATTCATGTGTTCCAGTGAAGGTCCATGGAATTTTCAAGTGTTTGTATCTTGTTGAAGTCATGCATTCTTTACTTTACTGCAGTGTTCTTACCAGGCCGCGCCATTGCGGGATTCGCGCATAAAAATCAGAAATGGCGCACAAATGTCAACTCTATGTGCCCCCAAGGGCGCATGAATTATCCAAAGAATACTTCCTGATAGTTATAAGAGATTTATAGTACTTTTGAAATAATAAAAGTCGATAAACAAGGTGAAAGTCCACATGAAACGGCATGAATCGGACATAGCCGCCATTTAGTATCTCACTCGCCAAGAGGTCTGGGACTAGTCTGTGTTAACTGTTTATTGAAGACTCAAGTATGGCTGCCCAGCGAAATTTTATTTAAAACTGTCTTACATTATTGTAGATTTGCAACAGTTACTGGCTAAAAACATTATTATTCTTTGTTTTAAGATTTTGGAAATGGCATATCCAGTTTTCTAAATGGCCCCTAAATTTCGGATTGGTGGGCCCTTTGACCCCCTGAAAGAAATTCCTGGTCAGAACACTGTTACTGTAATTTGGTATTTGTAAATACTTTGACACTTAAATGAGGCTTACCCAGAGTAAATAGTAAACCATTTATTTACAAATTTGTCTTCTTTTTTTGTGTAGAATATTCATGTGTTTCAGCGTCAGAAGCACTTTGGAATGCAGCTCAATCTGGGGGGCAAAACGATAGGTTCCAATTCTCAGGAGATTGAAATTATTTTGTTTTGTCCCACAGATCAAGCTGCTTTGACATCACATGTAAGGGGTCATGCAGTATGTACAAATCCAATAAAGATAAAAGTTTACTCGTACCTAACATAACTTGGATATTACAATAGGGTTTAACACACTTGAAGGAATACTTTATACACAGGGTTGGCACAGGGGGTGGGTGTCCCAGAGGCATCAATTTCTAAAATTCATGCATCAAGTATAAACTGCATACCGTTAAGCATACAACTGGTAATTTACAAATCACACTTTACACATTCAAGATATCAGTACTGGTATCCTCAATTGGCATCATCCCTACAATATGCCTTTATTAATTGATGAGTGAATGACTATGGTCTGTATAAAAAGACCATTATACATGTATACTGTTAATAGGTAGAATTAAGTCCAATTAACCATTCTGTGCATAAGAGCAATGTTGTACTTGTATGGGCTCCCTGTGGTAATCCATACTACTAGACAGAGATAGTGGAAGAAGAAATGTCTGACCAAACAGATGGTAGATTTACCACTACATGCTTTTCTTTTCTTAAGCCAGTCATTTGCACGTTAGGGACATCTGCAACAGGCTCCTGATGTGGGATAGGAGATATACAAGGGGACTTTTCTGGCAGACTTGAATCTGTTCTTTGGTTTACACAGGGTCTATTGGTGGTGTTATCTTGAGGTAATTTGAAGTGTACATGAGGTGATGGGTGATGGAGGTTTTCATCTGCAAGATATTATTATCAGGGCATTGTTTTTCTCTTACCACTGCTTAAATTCCTAGGTCCTTATTGAGGCAACAGTCACAATGTAAAAATGAGGCAATATACTTCATATCACATGGACCAGTTACGCATCTCGTTTGGAAAATTGTGACCCAGAAATACTCAGAGTACAATAGTTCCCTGCACCATCTTGAAAGGTTCATCTGAAGGTTTCAATGCAAAGGCACGGCTACCTTTCAAGATGGTGCAGGGAACTGTAAAGGGACTATTGCCATGAAAGCCAAACTAGTAGGTGTCTGCTATAGTTGTACCATTATACCTAAGTATCATGGCACTGATCATGTGAACAGGCTTGAAACTCATTGTACTCTATACCCAAGTGCTCTTGCAGTGTCCTTCGACTTTGACACCTGGTTTTAAGCACATAGCTGGTTACCTCATAAATAATTAATGAGTAATTGAAAAGATTATCAATAAACCAGAATCCAACTGATTGAGTTTACCTTGCATCTTTATGGTCTTCTTGTCTACAGTTGTATTACTTCCATTTCTTATTGCAGCTGTGGTTCTTTGTTTAAGTGCTATTCCCTGAAGCCTATTTCTCAGATCTCTTGTAGCTATTGGGTCTTTTATGAGAGATTTTACCAACAAGGAATCTTCATGTGTTTCTTGATTTACAGAGGAGATACCATGACCTGTGTTAGATCTTGTGCCTTGTGTTGCTTCAACAGGAGGATCAAGCTGTTGAGTTACACCTATCCCTTGGTCTTGATTACTTACAGCTGTTACTATAGAAGAAAATATGTCATTTTAGATGTTTGTTCGTTGTCTTGTCTGTGTTATTGGTGCAGGCATAACCAGTCATTGGGACTGGGCCTAATCATAATGTACATATGAATGTATGTGGCGGTACCATGTGGGGCAATAGGCTGTTAACATGAAATATGGACTGTACCACGTGGGGCAATAGGGGTAACATTATGGACTGTACCATGTGGGGCAATAGGGGTAACATGACATATGGACTGTACCACC